GAACGGAGACGTAACAGAAGTAACAACAATATCGAAAGATCTTAGGCTGTCACTTGTATATAAAAGGCTAAACTGAAGTTCCACATTTTCTCCACCTATTGGCTGAAATATATATGGGCTTATCGAAATACCTGTGGTAAAAATAAATATAATTTAACTTATGTGATTCATCATAGTCAATAGGATTGTTTTATTTACTAGCTTAGTCATTCTACATATTTTCAAACAGATAGTGGCTGCTGGATGTAAACCATAGCTAAAGGCGGACAGTAACATGGATCTGAAATCCTGTAATTTTGAAGTGATAGATTAGAAAAAAAAACACGACCCACTGCCAACTCTTGGGCTGCTCTTTTCTAACGAATAGTGGAATTAACCGTCACGTTATAATGCTCCCACAGCTGAAAGGGCGAGCATGTTCGGTGACGGGATTCGATTCCGTGACTCGAGATCTCCACGATAATTTATTGTATTTACGTATCTCTTCTTTATACAACATTATTACTTTTAGAACAAATATTTTTTCTTGTATAGTTGAAGACTCCAACTTAGAACTTTTTTTTTTTGGATTCATAGCAAATTTTCATAAGTTGTTTACAACTTCCTTGTGTATGTTTGTGCTCTCTCTTCTTGGCCTTAATGTGAAAGCATTTGTTGCTTGTCTGTCGTTTTGTGCAAGATGCTCAAGGTGAACTTCATGCTTCGAAGCAACTGCAGGTGGATTTTCACTAAATACCTGAAACAATTTTGCATATTACGTAGGGTGAGATAACACAGAAACAAAGTTATTTTCCTAATAAAAACTATCATACGTTTAAACAAAGATAAAAACAATATTTTTACAAAATAAGAGTTAGTAATTAACAAATTAAAATCTTTTAGTATCATATAAACCCCACCCAATAAGTTAATGGCTAAAGAAATGTAAAAGCCTAGGCGTTATTAGAATAAACTTTCCCAGTCATGTGATCTTCAATAACATCATGAGCTTCTGTAACTGCCCACCCTGAAAACAGGGAAATGTTGGAATTAGCTATGAAATTAAATGTTGCGCTGAATTTAACTCGAAAAGAGCAAAACAAAAGAAATTGTTGAGAAAGTATAAGAAATTGAAATCTTATTTAAAAGAGAATGATAAAGGATTACATTTAAAAAATACCATATCACAGATAAAATGGTTAAAATAATTCAAACGTTGGGAAACCGAAAGATTTCTGTTTCTTTATTGCCCACTCCCACTTGTAAATATAAAACTTGCATTTTTACAAATGGTGTTGTGTAAACATTTTAAGGTTTTATAATGTTTTAGGCTAGGTTCGTCTGACGAACTGCAACCAGTTTTCAAAACCGTAAAGATCTGACAACTTACGTTATTTAAGGCCGATAATACTTGCGAGTGACATGATCCTTAATTTATATAAAGCCGACAATAGGATCTGACAGCTGATCTTATATAAGACCAATAATAATAATAACAACGCGTGATCTTAAAGATTTTATTGTTTCTGAATTTCGCGCAAAGCTACTTGAGGGCTATCTGTGCTAGCCGTCCCTAATTTAGCAGTGAAAGACTAGAGGGAAGGCAGCTAGTCATCGCCACCCACCGCCAACTCTTGGGCTACTCTTTTACCAACGAATAGTGGGATTGACCGTCACTTTATAACGCCCCTACGACTGAAAGGGCGAGCATGTTGGGTGGGCCGGATTCGAACTCGCGACCCGCAGATTGCGAGTCGAGCGCCCTAAACACCTGGCCATGCCGGGCCGTCAATAATACTGTGTTGAAATTTTTGCAATTCAGGAAGAAATATTTTGATTTGATGGTTACAAAAATTAGATAGTGAAACTGGGAACTTTTTTCCGAAAGATCTTGAGTTTCGGTAGGTAGTAACAAATTATTTCTGTTTATTATTAAAGGGCAGTTGATTTATTGTATTAGCTCTTTCACTCTATAAATGATTTGAGGCTGTGACATGCAGAGGGTGCTGGCTAGATGGGCTGAAGCCCTTGCCTTTCTCCTCTTATATTCCAAAAGAGCCCTTTTTCTCAGCAATGATTTGAGGCTGTGACATGCAGAGGGTGCTGGCTAGATGGGCTGAAGCCCTTGCCTTCCTCCTCTTATATTCCAAAAGAGCCCTTTTTCTCAGCAATGATTTGAGGCTGTGACATGCACAGGGTGCTGGCTAGATGGGCTGAAGCCCTTGCCTTCCTCCTCTTATATTCCAAAAGAGCCCTTTTTCTCAGCAATAAAACATGTACGCAACTACCAAAAGACATGCCTAATTCTATACCTTGTTTTCTGAAAGTTAGAAGAAAAATTTCAGCTTTAAAATGAATGGCACACAGGATTTGTAGGTCTTTACAGTAAAAAAAAAATAAATAATAATAACTATGATATGCTGTTAAATGTTAATACACAAAAATTCACTGTTCCGTTTTAGATTTTAAAAGTATTTATAAGATTGATTGAATATAAATAAAAAAGGACCTGTTTACTTCTCATGGATTTCTACTCTATATGTACCAAAGACAACCCACATTCTCCTCTAACACTCCCCCCCCCCAAAAAAAAGGTCTTGCCTTAG